AAATGTAGATGTTAGTTAACATTTTAATTAAGTTATCAAAGTGAAATTTGTTTATGATCTACTCTCGCATTTGGCCAATTCACTCTTATAAGTTAGTTAATCGTTTAAAGGTTTAGTGGTAAATTAGTAATCTTATTTGATGTCATATAAAACCAGCGGACAAAAAGACAGCTTCACCGTACGCGGTCTGAGCTGATTGCGTTTGCGACATCTCTCAAACTCCACTTCACCGACGAACAAAGATCGGCCGGAGATTTCTCACTTGTCATTCACTGTATCTCTTCAAACTCTCGTTTTCTGTATTCTTGTCTTTCCTGCACACCACATGTTCGATGAAATTACTAAACCATGTAATCCATATCAAATCTTCACCTGTTTCCTTAAAATTTGCAGGGCTCGAGGAAAGTCTATCTTTTTTGGCTTAAATTCTGATTCGGGTTCTTACGTCCAGTCACCATGCTTCTGGTTTCGCCTGCTTGTAGAGGTGTTTATCTTCAGACCATAGATTCAAAGCCAATTGATTTCTCTGCCAAAGCCTCATACGCAATTTGCTTTCAGGTTTCCATTTCATCTCCTCTTACTTTGACCTTGATGATTCCAATCCTGAGCTTGTAAAAGTTTGGATTTTTTCTTTTACATGCAGATTCCTCGTTCGACCCCTATAAGGAAGTGTTCGATGATGTTAGTTTGTTTCAATAAGAAGCCTACACAACAATCAAGTTTCAAGAAGCGCCATGTATCTACGCAGAATGTGGATCTTCCTCCTATTTTACCAAAGAACAAGAAAAAACCTTATCCTGTTCCTTTTAAGCAAATTCAGGAAGAGGGTAGGAAAGATAAGAAACTTGCTGAGATGGGCATAGAGAAACACTTAGACCCTCCCAAGAATGGATTGCTAGTTCCAAATCTTGTCCCTGTGGCTTATCAAGTGATAGATAACTGGAAGTTGTTGATCAAGGGTTTAGCTCAGCTTCTCCATGTTGTTCCTGTCTTTGCTTGCAGTGAATGTGGGGCGGTTCATGTGGCCAATGCTGGTCACAATATTAAGGACTGCAATGGTCCAACAAATTCACAGCGACGTGGCTCTCATTCATGGGTCAAGGGCACCATCAATGACATTCTTATTCCTGTTGATTCGTATCACATGTATGACCCTTTTGGGCGGCGCATAAAGCATGAAACCCGGTTTGACTATGAAAGAATCCCAGCAATTGTTGTGCTATGTATTCAGGCAGGAGTTGAGATCCCAGAGTATCCTTGTCGCAGAAGGACACAACCAATCCGAATGCTGGGGAAGAGAGTGATCGATCGTGGTGGATATGTTAGAGAGCCTGATAAGCCTCAGGCATCATCATCATTATTATCTCCAATAGCCGAGCTTGACACGCTTGGTGCTTGCGAAAGGTATCCACCTCCCACACCAGAGGACATACCTAAGATAGCACAGGAAACAATGGATGCTTACGAAAAAGTGAGACTGGGGGTGACGAAATTGATGAAGAAGTTCACGGTGAAAGCATGCGGATATTGCTCTGAAGTGCATGTAGGACCATGGGGACATAGTGTGAAGCTGTGCGGAGAGTTCAAACATCAATGGAGAGACGGGAAGCACGGATGGCAAGATGCTCTTGTGGACGAAGTTTTTCCTCCAAACTATGTATGGCATGTTAGAGACCTTAACGGAAATCCGCTTACCGGAAATCTCAGGAGGTTTTATGGTAAAGCCCCTGCTTTAGTTGAGATTGGTATGCACAGCGGAGCTAGAGTTCCTAATCGCTACAAGGCGATGATGAGGCTTGACATCATCGTTCCTGATTCAGAGGAAGCCGACATGGTCGCATAGGTCCTTAGACATGTTCATAGTAGAACACCATTGTTAGGATAAAGAAGCTTCAAAGCATGGTTGATGATAGAATGAGCTGGCTAGCTAGGATCTTCTTGATTGGGGACAGAAGACATATTGTCATATTGTATATTTTGCAATTTGAGTATAAAAATAACTTTGAAACCTGTGTAGAAATTAGAAGAATTGTCTTTCATTTTCTTAGATTTTGAGAAGACGGGATTAAGAAACATCTATAACCCAAGATAGCTGGCTTGAAATATTTTTTTGATTCTCTGTTCTCTCAACATCTCACTGGTCCTCTGTAATTATAATGGAGGCCGTTAGTCTTTTTTGTTGACTAACCGAACGATGGAAAAGGATTTCTCGTTGGTGTGGAAGAAGAAGATAAAAGGAATGGGGCGAGTTATTTGTCAGCGGGTGTGAGTCACGAATCTGGAACGATTCAGATCACATTGAAATATAAAGAAGCGGAGAAGAAAAGTAGTCAGAACGAGATCACCAGATGAGATTTGTTAATCTAGGAAGACCGTTGTGTTATAAAATTGTTAATGATCTTCCTTTGCGCGGTCTCCCGATCTTTGAATCCTTTGCGCGGTCTCCCGATCTTTGAATCCTTTGCGCGGCTTCGAGCTCTTGGTCCGTATAATCCCAATTGTAAAGGTGAGCCTACAACATTACTTAAGAGTTTTTTCTCAATTTGGTCATTATCTCTATCGCGTGATGTGGGCATACTTTCTTATTTACTATGTTGCACTGGTAGAACAACTAGATGTGTCTTCTCAACGAGACATGCTTGCTACTTG